TTAGAATGTTGTCCGCAGCCTAGAAGACCCCCTTACGCCAGAAGCATTTCATATTTTAATAAAAACAAAATAATAAACATGATTTAAAAATCTAAATCTCTACATATATCTTCTTTGCTTTCATCCAGAGATCGCACAACCTCATTCAGGCTAAAATGTGAAGCAGCAACCCGGACATTAAAGTCCATGACATGAATGGCTACGGCACCCTGAGTCCTGCTCTGGTCAGACACCACCAGTGGTGATGTAAAAAGTCACATGACCACAACCAATAACATCTGGTCCAGGCAGCCCATCATGTGTCCAAGTGAAATGTGTCAGGAATGTGTCCCTACGGGAGGGGGCTGGGACCTGTTAGTCTCTGTGGGACAGAGGACTGCCCCGCAACCTCACCTTCAGCCCCAACCTGACAACCATGGCAGAAAAGGGCTCTAAGTGGTGCACAGTTTGCGGGCCAGTGGAATGTGACGCAGAGCTGCCATGGAAACGGGAACGTGGAGGTCACATGGTCCTTTTCCCAGGAAAGTCAGAGAGATGCTGCCCCACATGAACAACTTGTTTAAGGGTGGAGGTCTGGGAAGTGGAAAACTCACAAGCACGCCTGCATGCACACATGCGCACGCACACACAAAAGACCTGAACAGAGAGGCACTTGTCTGGTGTGGAGGGGGCGGGTAAATAAATAAATGTTGGGACTGGGAATTCTGGAGCAGGAATTTCTAGTAAAAATCTGTTAAAATTAAAACACCACACTGGAGACCAGCTGGCACTGAGTCTGGGAGACGAGCACGGCGCCTCCCACGGACGATGTTTACAATAAGAGATGATCTGAAAGGGCAGCGTTTTGTGAATGCGCTGCTGGAAGGCGCTGGCATCCGCGGGCACCCAGGATGGCAGAGCCCAGCCGCGGCGTTGGCAGGGCGGCTGGCAGCGTGATAATGGGGAGAGACGCCAGCGCCTCACACTCGCGGCCTGTGAAGTCCTTCCTAAACGAGGGGCGAGCCGGTGCCAAAAAAGTTGGAGGGGCTCATTCGGGAAAATGAGAACAAAAGAGCCCCTCCCCCCCCCCCCCCCGCCCCCCCCCCCCCCCCCCCAAAAAAAAAACAGGGCGAAACAAAAGAGAGAGGAGAAAAATGGAAGCGGTAGAAGAACCACACATGGCCGTATTTATAAGGTCATTCCAAAGTCACTTGAGCATCACACTGCAGGAGATGCAGTAGGTCCCCCCTAAGTAGGTACTGGATTTCACTGCCTACTGATCAGCGTCTCCCTAAATAAATCTTTCAAAATAAAAGCCAGGTATGGGACAGCAGGCAGGACAAATCTTCAAGCGGGCTCTGTGTTCGCTCCCCAAGTAACGAGTTATGCCCTGCCCCCCGCCCCCCGCCCCCACTCCAGCAAAACACCGGCATTAGTTACTGAGCTGAATGCCCGTTCGACTAATACGAGACTGTAATGGATGCACAGGCTCTGCCATTATATGCTAATTAAATGGCACTCCAGGCACCATTCTAAGTGCCATCATCAATTTCCCCTGCACTTCTTAACGATCCTGCTGAGGTGCCCGGCGAAGGGGTCGGGCAGGTGGCGCTCTGCATCCTCAGAGCCCACCCGCGCCGGTATGATCCGGGGTCTGCGCCCAGCCCGCGTGGGCTCATCGATGTCATGGAGAGAGAGTGAGAGAGCATGTGAAAGTAGGTCAGGCTCCGGAGTACGTGGATGACAGCTCTAATTCCACAGCGAGGCCAGCGGGAGGCCGAAGCTGTGCACACCCCCCCCCCCATTTTTTTCGCTAGAAATAATTGGGATGCATCTCTTAGCCAGGGCTGCTCTGTCAAAGGCTGTCGGAGCCATTCGAACAGACAATCTCTCCCGAGAAATAGTAGAAAACACTGATCACCCAGCCTGGCAAGTGGAACCTCTGGGCAGTAGAACACTGCCATCTAGTGGCTCAACACAGGAGCTACAGATGAGTTTTTTTAAATTGCAAGATTCCTTGCCATATAGCTTAGAAAGAGCAATCAAAACCATCCATTTTCCATAGCAACTTTTTTTGATCCAGGGTCACAGGGATCCCAGTAGCTACAGACATGAACGAGGTAGGGAATAATGCAGGACGACACAACCCCCCCCGCCCCACACACACACCTAGTTTCTCTAGTTCACCTCAGCATGTTTTTGGACTGTGGGGGAAATCAGAGTACCTGGCGGAAACCCCACGACACAGGGGAACATGTAGACTCCACACACACAGAATCGGGGGAGAGAATGTAACCCTTGGTCTCAGAGGGGTAAGGTGACCATTCTAACCACTGTGCTGCCCAGATATAAACCTTATGTTTTTTTTTTTTTTAAATAAAATACAAATGCTTTGACGCATCATAAAGCTACACTGATGCTGAATTTCCTAGTCATGATTTAACAAGGTCACAGAGACAAATGAAACCAAATTAGCAGAGAAAGATCAACCTTTATTTATTGAAACTGCTTGCATACAAAATATATTGCACTATAACCAAACAATGTCAACATAAAACCCAAATTGGTTCTGCTAATATGTACAGAGAAAATATTGCCCAAAGTGCAGTAATATACAAGGTCAGTCTACCTCAGTTCAGTATCTACAACGTTTCGGTTTGAAGTTTTATACCACGACAGCCTACAACGTGTGCAAGAAACATCGGATTATTTTTTTAATCTTTTAATTCATATACATTCCCAAAATAAATAACTACAAATCGTCCCGTTTGGCAACACTTAGAGGACATTTCCGAGGACCATCTGCTTGCTCTCTGTGCCGGGCGCGCAGGCGTTAAGAACACTGATGGTAAACGGCCTGGCAGAGCCCGTCAAGCGGCAGCCCAGAGGTGTGATTCTCCAGTCGTCAACGCCTTCGCTGGATATCTCCTGCAGAAGGTGTCACAGACTGGCACCACAGCACCAAAAGCCCACTTACTGAACCCCACAACGGATGTGAAAGATGATGACAGATCTGCTCGCCTAGTGTTGGAAGTGACACGAGTCACAGTGAGCCAGTTATTCCGAGGTGCGGGTTCACCAATCACGCGGTGCCAGTTATTCCGAGGTGCGGGTTCACCAATCACGCGGTGCCAGTTATCCCGAGGTGCGGGTTCACCAATCACGCGGTGTCAGTTATCCCGAGGTGCGGTTTCACCAATCACGCGGCGCCGGTTATCCCGAGGTGCGGGTTCACCAATCACGCGGCGCCGGTTATCCCGAGGTGCGGGTTCACCAATCACGTGGTGCCGGTTACTCCTTGGTGAAGGTTCACCAGTAATGTCATCACCAATCATGCTGAGTGGGTTATGCCACGGTGCAGGATCACGAGTCACACCGAGTCGGTTATCCTGTGGTAGAAATTCACAAGTCACGTCTGGTAAAAGCGCTCTTTCATGTCCGAACCGCCATTCCTCCACCGGACGGCAAGCAGATCACGACCCAGTAGTACTGGACCGGTGGCACCAAGTGAGCGCGGTGTTGGACGGAATTTGACAGCAGTTGCAAACTGGAAGTCGCTTGTAATGTAAGATGTTTATATTACAAATATAATAGAGGAAAGGGCAGAGAAAGTCAAGAGGCGTGGCTCTAAACAGCTTCAAGTCCTCGAAAGTAAACTAAGGTTTAATGCACAAGCACTGATCATGTAAGACAGACGGTCCACGAGGAGCGAAGTGAGTCTCTCACCGAAACGGCCGGGGCCCCAAAGGAACAATCAGCCGGGAAAACCGCTGCCCGATTTTAAAACACTGCAGACGGCGAACGCCAAAGGATTTTAAATACCACATCTGGTTTATTACATTTCATACGATTAAAGAAAACACCTGCAAAATGACACGGGAAGAAAAGGCCTACCTTACATGTTGAAATCCAAAATAACAGCATCTATTTTTTAAACAATGGTATAATATACAGTGTTGCAGCCGTCCAATAGCATGGATGCGGCCTTTTATCCAACAGAACTTGACAGTGTATCTGACAGGCGTGCACTTATGCACACACCTGAACTCCAGCTCATCTCCATCCAATGAGAGCCAGGCTTAGCCGAAACACTCGCGCTTTCAGTGAAATCAGTAAGGGGCGTGGGACTGAGAATGATCTCACAGTTGATGTCTGTGAGCCCACCCACCAGAACCACTGAATCCTGGTCAGTGCTTCTACAGCCCTGTCAAATATAAACACTGTACAAGGACATTACTCACAAAGCGGGTAGCAGAATGTCTACTTAACCAAAGGTAAAAGCGATCCCCTACAAAGCAACCTAGTCTTATAGTTCACAAACAGAAGTCTTGCCCACTTATGCCTAAACTGCCTTTCAGCACGGTTTTAATTAAAAGAAAAAAAAGGAAACTGGAATATTAGACAATCACGCGTTAAGTTAATCAGCAGACACCCATTTGATGCTGTGGCTTGCGCTACATTTGGTTCATCCACACGAGCCGCAAAGCAAAGTCGAGAGAGTCCCTCCGTCTTCTGACAGCAAGCGCGTCCTAGTACTCTCCAGGCAAACAAACCGCTCTATCGCCAGCTTCCTAGGAGATTTCAGTGCAAGGCTAATGGAAAAACCAGTATTTGATAACACGGGCGATTCCGGTTTTTTGCCCAATGTAAAAAATGGTAATGAAACGCATGCAGTCTCTGAGAAAAGAAAAATATCAGCGGAACAGGCATCTCTAAATACAATTATATTACATTAGTGTTATCCTCAGCCTTCTTCCCTGATTTAGACGTTCAATCACCCACAACAGATTAAAGGCACAAATCAGACAGGATTTTTTTTTCCTTTTTTTTTTTTTTTTTTTTCGAATAATGTCAAAGCAGTGACATCACATTGGAACGAACATGTGATCTGCTACCAGTGTGGGGCATCAAAGAATGGCAAGGCTAAAAAGCCACACAACTTATTAATCAACCTCTACAGTGGGGGGGGGGGGGGGGGGGGGNAACTTATTAATCAACCTCTACAGTGGGGGGGGGGTGAGGGGGAGGAACAAATAACAGTAATAATAATAGTAATAATAGCTCACTTTAGATGTTAAAGAGCACACAGAGTATTATAACCTGTAATCCACCTGCTAATTGGCTCCTGTTTACCTTTAGCTAAAACCGAGCGCTCTCTTTGCGGGCAGGAATTGACCCGCACACACACACCACCACCCACCCCCCCTTCCACTGAAGCAAGTGCTGGAGACACAGTAATGTGACGTGCGCCCACCCTCCCCCAGTGTGTTGAAATAGCCCTACCAATCCCGTTCTCTTTGGCCTAACGAGTCTCTAATGAACAAGCTTCTGGATTTGACAGAGCAGAGTGGGGAGGCGGGAGGGGAGGAGAGCGGGGGAGCGGATGCTGGACTACGACACTCCATTCACCAGCATCTGAGACCCTTCAGGTCCCTCTGCCTTCTCCTTCTTCAGGCCCCGCTCCTTGACGGGTCTCTGCCGGTGGCCCCCACCACCCATCTCGGCTCCAGGGGTGGGGCCTTGGAGGGCCTTTGTGTGGACGCTCCTCTCGTTATTTCCGTCAACACGAATCTGCGGGCATCGGAGAGAAGGTAGACAAAGCACATGAGTGTACAGCACGAGCATGTGCAGTGCTCCATGGTGGCCACTGGGGGCGCTAACATGCAAACATCTGAGGAATGTTATCCAATGATAAAGGATCCAACTGGTTTGCGAGTTGGATCCTCTGTGCTTTCAGTGTGTGATGATGTCAGCACTGGGTAACAACCGGAAATTGGGGGGGAAAAAAAAAGCCTGACACTGATAACTAACACTGACACCCAGTGGCGAATATGTGGAACTGCACCCAACCCCCATTTCAAAGACTCGCGCATTCTCACCTGCAGGGAATCTTCCTGGGGCCTGGATTTCACATCTCTGGAACTGCGTGGGCGGGAATCATTCCACTGCACGTCTTCAGGACCTTAAAAGCAGACAGCCCATCATTAAAGAGCTGAATACCAGCTCCTAACTTGCTCTTACTATCAAGCTGTGTTATGCAGCAAGGCTGGTTCGCCAAGCGCTACACGGGATTCACACACACCTACAGGCCCAGTGGAAAGCTACAGCACAAACTGGCTAAAGACAGGCGAAAAATCCTTGCGGCGAAATACAGACCAGCTTCACAAAACGACACACATGCAGCTACACAGTGCTAAAAGCTAAGGGATCCTAAAGGCTAACAGCTAATGGGTGCTGCGACCACCATAACCAAGACCCAATACAGTTGGGATGCCCCACAGGAAACATCACTGACCTTTGTAGCCCCCTCCCCCACGGCCCCTCCCACCACGTCCTCGAAGGCCCATGCCCCTCTTGCGCCCATCTCCATGGCGAGGGAAGCCTCTGCTCTCCTCATCGGTGGGGGCCAGGGACCAGTCGCTCAGCTCGTCTCGGTGGTCCGACTCGGTCTCTGAAGCATTGGAGGCTTCGGAGTTGGTGCCTGAGGGAGCACGGGGCGGCACTTCAGTACATTAAATCACACGGGCAGAAACAGGAAATGGCAGGTCGCTTGCTGAACTCCAGCAGCCTATGAGCAACGAGGGGAGGAGCCAACAGCACATTGGACTCCTTCCTATAGCACAGAACAGTCAGCGAAGCTGGCAGTCAGGAAACCATTTAGATCTCAGATCACGGTATTGTGTCCAGTGGAGCCTCAGCAGATTAAACCAAATCGACTGAAATCAAACCACAGCAGAGCAGATGAATCATACCGCACACATTCAAACACACACTTCTCCAGGTCAGACCAGACAGGCCTTTAACCACAGGGAAGCATCACTCACACCATGTCTTTTTTTTTTCTTCAAATTGACAGCCAAGGCTGGAAATTAAACTAGCCCAACTGGCTCATAAAAGACTGCTGGCCGAGTGTCATTTTTTACTGAGATAGCCCGGTTGGTTCCACCCCTTCTGACAGCACAGAACTGAAACCTCACTAGCTGAGAAGCAGGTACCTGAGGTGAAGGCGGGACCCCGTCGGCCACGCCCCCCACGGCCAAAGGGCTTCCCCCCACGAGGGGGGCCAGTACCGTCGTCCACACCAAAGCCCTTCTCCTTGTCGGGCCGTCCTGCCGAGGCCCTGGGCCCCCCGCCGATCTGGCGGAGCTGCTCGTCGATCTGCAGCAGCTCCATGCGGAGCTGGTCTACCTCCTGTGGGGGCCGGAGGGGATTACGGTTACAAGATCTGCACGCACACGCAAAGCAAGATCACCCTCCTGAAGAATCCCCCCTCCTCACCTTCAGGTAGTTGAGATGATAGTCCAGCAGGACGCGGGCATTCGAGATGCTCTCCTTGGTTCCTACGAAGACGAACGGCACCATGCCCTGCTGCAGGGCATGTCATGGAGAGCGGCCCGTTAGATACCACACGGCCAGCTGAGGAGACCCACGTCAGACTGCCACTGGCTGGCCACACCTACTCACCTCGTCGGCTGGCGGCGGCTTCTTGTCATTTTCAGCCTCGATCCTCACCCTGACCACTCCGGATTTGTCCACAACCTCCTGGATAAGCTTGCCACTTTTACCGATGACTTTCCCTAACAAGACAGGGGTAGGTTAATGAGTCAATGATGGAAGACCCTGCGAACAAGAAAGGGTGGCGACAGAGGGCTTTTCTACATACCTACTAAATTGCGGGGAACTTTGATGACATCTTCGGAGAATTCCAGATAGCTTCGGGCTTTCCGCACGGCCTCCTGGTCCTACGGCAGAACACCACCGGTGCCAGTTTAAAATGAACTGCCAAAATGAACTGTCACCACACGGCAGCCCTGACAACTAGCGGAGTTGGCGGCCCACTCGCTGCATACTCATCCCGCGGCTGTTAGTCTACTGGATCTTCTCCCAGGAGTTCTACTCAGTTGCTTCGTTTATAGAGGCCAAGGGATAACCAAACAACCCCCCTCCTCACCGCAGACACACAGTTGGTGTTAGGCTTTGTTTCCCATCAAGAAAAACAAACGGCTTGTCTGATCTCACTCAAGCAAACACAAACGACTCATCGACCAAAACAATTCGTCAGAAGGGGAAAATGATGGTACCTCTCCGTAGATGTGGAAGGTGCAAGTCTCCTCGTCCAGGTCGATGGTGGTAACCCCGGAGACCTTCCGGGCCTGCTGGATGTTGGCGCCATGGGTGCCGATGGCGAGCCCCATCAGGTCGTCCCGTACGGAAAACTGCTCGTGGAAGCGGGAGGCCAGCTGCCGGGAGCTCTGCATACAGGAACCCCACCCAAATTCCCTTAGAGATACAACATGACTTTCTGTTTAAAGAAAACTTCTAAACACCTGACCTTTGTAGAGCTGATGACACTGGTGAAGTGCACCAGCTTCAGGAGACTTACCATGTACATCCAGCCATAATGGAAGATGGTCAATATCATGTAATAGCACCCAGTGCCCACCCCCCTCCCCACCATTTAGATACCTGAAAAACTAAATTGCTAGTGAGTACAGTCAGATCGTAGCTTGCTAGCTGGTTAGCAAAACACGATGCTTCAGCACTTCCTAAATAAGGAGCGCATTTATTTAATATTTAGGGTAGTGACTGTGGCCAACAGGGAGCCTAAACCTTTGGGGCCTAACACACATACGTAGTTTCCGTGGCGGTAAACACCAAGTTTTTCTTAGAACAATTGTGGCGCCTCTCAGGGTTGCATGTAGGGCTGCATGATCTCAATACTATACTGATGTTTCCTTACAGTCACAATTTGGTAAACACATTAGTAGTATGCCTAAAATATTAATGAGATGCGTATTGTGACTCCCAAAAATGAGTAATCTGTATAAATTTTGCATATCTGTGTTTATTCAATTTGGTTAGCAGAGCATGCCACATACTACCGTTTTGGTAAATCATGGAAACGATAAGCACTGAAGTAGCGATGAAGAAAGGGACAGATCAACAGCTTTTAAAGCATTAAAACATCTTTTAAAGAGAAGACCGGTTGCTGCCAAACAACATAAAAACATGTTGGTGGTGTGGTGGTTCTTTTCGCAATTTATTAAATTAAATACGCCAAATTTATACAGATTCACTTTTGGGTGTCATAATATGCCTCCCATTAATATTTTAGGTGCACTATTAATCTGCTTACCAAATTTTGAGCGCAAGTAAATGTCCGTATAGTATTGCAACACAGGCATCTGGACTAACGTTCATATCCATCATCTAAAGCCTTGGTGATGATTGTGCATGTGCTATATAATTGCGATGTGACACCGTGCAGCCATAGTTCCACGGCAGCTATTACGCCATCATAGTGCTCGACGGCACAACAACCCTACAAGTCTGAAGCCGTGTTCCTACGGTCCGGCTGAAGAGCGTGAGAGATGCTTCAGGAGCCGGGTTAGATACCTCCAGCTGCCGGCTGGCTTCCTCGTTCCGCTGCATCAGGGTCAGCTTGGTGCGCAGACTCCTGAAGTGCATGTCGCTCAGCATGGCCGCCCGCTTGTTCGTCACCTCGTTGACCGACTGGAGTGGGACAGATAATGAGATGGGGGGGGACGGGTGGCTGGGGTGAGCTCCCTCGGGGCAGGACGGGGGGCCCGCGCACGCTTACCAGGATGACCAGCTGCTTCTTCTCAGAATCATACGAGACGCTGAAGCCACCCACGGCCTTCTTGAAGTCTTTGTGCACAGAGTCCTTCGAACACCTAGAGGACGAAAGCAGGAGGTGGCTCTGGGTGCTTATCTGAGAAGGCAGCACTAGAGGCTAAGCGCACAGCCTGCAATTTCAGGGTCTCTGGGCCACAGAAAGGGAGAGGCAGAGACAGCGAGTCTGCATGGGCAGCACTGAGCACATTTATTTAAGGAATACCTTAGTTTCAGAAATGTTATGACAGTAAACAGCGTTACAAGAAAGAAAATGATGATCTTCTCCCTTATAAATCATGAAATCTGCCGATATGCAGACAGACACAAGTGGCTGGTCTTGCTTGGCCAGTTTCCACCCGGGCATGTGAGCAGAGCGAGCATGGAGCAGGAGCGGGAGCGAGCATGGAGCAGGAGCGGGAGCGAGCATGGAGCAGGAGCGGGAGCGAGCATGGAGCAGGAGCGGGAGCGAGCATGGAGCGGGAGCGAGCATGGAGCGGGAGCGAGCATGGAGCGGGAGCGAGCATGGAGCGGGAGCGAGCATGGAGCGGGAGCAGGAGCGGACGGATTTTGGCTGAGCAAGGAACGGCATATTTGGAAAAACCTTTTCTCTCGCTCTGTCTCGGTCCACTTTTGCATACCGGAGTGGTACCGGACCCGCTCACACAATGCATTTGAAGCATGACAATTCTTCTTTATAGTTTATTTAAAAGGACATTTGACAGGAAATACAGGCTAATTTTATGTAAACCATATGTGCATTACGCAATGAATTTGAGTTATTTGAGTCAATTTTATTTAAGTCATAAAGGATTTGCCTAACAGTTAATTTAGTTTTAAAACTTGCACCTCTTGTAGCTTATATTTATTTAATTAGGCCTGTGATTAATTTAATTTTACAGATGGCTTCTTTTATTTTGCTAGTGCATCTTGCTGCTTGAATGTGGATCTGGCTGCGCAGTTATTTTGGTGCCAGGCTACAGTTTAAGCTAAAATTTAAATATAACGCATATTGTTTTCTTTTTTGGAGTGAGCGGTAAGCAATTTCATTGGAGCAGGGTGAAAGCTGACCGGAGCAGGGAGCAATAATGAGTGCAGTGGTCTGCAGTGGCTGTGAGCAGTAGCTGTGCATTTGGCGGAGTGGGAGGCGGAGCCTCTTACATCTGCCGCAGGTCCTCCGGCACGTCCAGCCGCACCTTGAGGAAGGTGCTCTTGGTGGCCGCCTTGTTGGGGTTCACGGGCCGCAGCCTCTCCAGCGTGACGATCTCGTTGAGCGTGGCGTCGCAGGCCGCGTACTCGATCACGTAAAACTGTGGGGCGGTGGGGCAATGACACCTTTTAAAATGGCTGATTCTATTAAAAATATACACTGTGCAAAAGCAATATTTAGGGGAGGTTAGGGGACTCTCCCAAAAGGGAAAAAAATCCCCCCCACACACAGAGGAGAGAGAAGCTCACCTCTCCTTTCACCATCCTGACCTTGGCCAGCCACCAGCCGCAAGGCTCCTTGTCGTTGGCTCTGGAGTACACCTGGCGGCAAACGGTAGAATTACAGAGAGCGTTTCTGCACAATGACCACAGAGACCAACTTGCTGCTACACAGCGACGGCTCCGATCCTCAGGTCCAAACTGGAATTCTGGTCAGAAACACTATGTTCAGGCTTTTAAATGTCAAAACGATAATAAATTACGAGCAGCTCTTAGGTAAGGTAAAACCGACTCAAGCAATCCAAACTTGCACAAAAAATATTGGAGTTTGCAGAAGCAATCACGCAAAAAGGCAGCATGCACCTGCATTTACACTATCCTTTCATTTTTTTTTTTACATATCACTAGTATGTTTTCGGTTTATGTGTTGTTTGCTATAAGGTTTCACACGTCATATTTTAACTACTTAGACATCCCCCCACCCCCATCCCCACCCAGAGACGTCTCCATTAACAGAATTCACAATTCCCATGCAGAGCGTTTGCTAATTAGTGTACACATCTCCCTGCTGTGCTGCATCTCAGCCGGGCCCCAAAGGCCCTGGCTCTCGGCACGTACCTCGACCTCGTCGCTCTCATTGATCTCCTTCTGAAAGCTCGTGGGTGCGAGAAAGCGGACATCGTGGAAGGGGACCTGACGCTCCGGCTGCCAGCTGAGGGAGGTGGCAAAAAAAAAGGATTAAAGATTTAAATAAAGTTATAAAAATGAACACTAGAGCAAACCATCGGTCTGAAAAGCACGACAGGAAAAGGAAGATAAATCAATATCCTCTCCAACTCCCCCTCCATGTAGCCTGTAGCAATATCCTGCTGTGATCAAATTTACTTCCCCATATCCGGCCAGGCTACCATGCTTAATTCAAACATGCACTTGGCCAAACTGAAACACCACCTCAAACTGTCTATCTTCTAGGGGAACCGCCCCCAGCGGCCAATTACGAGCAATTAAAATAATGTGCTAAATGCAATAAATAGCACATTTTACTTTTTGGGGAAGCAGGGTTTAGTACTCACTTATTCTCGAAAGCCACGGTAACGGACGATTCGAGCACGTCTTTCACAAAAGCCTGCAATGCAAAGTCAGGACAAAGGTTAACAAAGACGACGACATCCAGGCCAAGACTTTTTATACAGTAAAAGGTCTTCTGACCAAAATAAGAGATCTGTCCCATTTAAAACCTAATTTAGGTGCTCAGGATACAGGAATTCACATCAGCACCTAACACACCATTTACTGCAAATATACCTCCACTGTGAGGAGGTACACAGCATCCAAAGGTTTTTTCCATACTTTTGTTCGTCACATACAAAATTATATTCGGTACAGTTTGCATTGACGTGTTCCAAACTGTGAATAGTGTACATATCTATAAGGGACAAATAAAAAAATGCATTAAACAAATATAATAACACTTAAAAATATACATCTGTGGATGTAAAAGGGACAGGCGCTATATATCCTATCCCAGTGAAACAGGGACAGGCGCTATATTCTCTATCATAGTGAAAACAGGGACAGGCGCTATATTCCCTGTTCCATTAACTGTTGTGTACCGCCAGGAATAGCACCCGGCTTTAAAACCTGCCCCATTTACTGGAAACAATTTTCACAAACGTATCTGTGCAGAAGGCGCGTTGCGATGCACATGCATGAAACACTACGATATGCAAAACCGGGCTGCGGCATGCAAAATTTCCGAGGACGAATTCATAAAACCGGTACCAAACCAGTACGTAGCCGAACGGGTAAGAAGGCAGGCGGCCTGGCATGGCTGGTACGTCGAAAAAATAACAAAATGCCATCAATGCATGGCTAAAAATGTACGAAGCTGATTCATAATTATGTCCTGTTCCCGGAGCAATGGAGAGCCTATGCACAGCTCGGAGCCTCCACCCCCGGGAACCTCTCCGCCAGGGCGTCGAAGCGGGCCGCAGCCGTACAGCGACACCCAGATATTGCGAACCGGCCTGCGTAACTAGGCAGCCCACGGAGGCGGTCAGTTCCCCGTCTGTGGTGGAGGGATGTGTTCCCAGGAAGGGTACCCACCTTGTAGAAGGCTCCGCTCACCCCTCGGACTTCCACGGCCAGCTCCTCCATAGATGCAGCCAGTCAGACGCTAGCTAGCTAACGGAGTCGGACACCAGCACCCCCAGCCCGCCGCCGAAACCGCGGCGACGCTTCGGCTCCTTCTCCTCGGCGATGTCTTACTTGCTCGGCGTAGCGGGTATCGCGACCGGCTTTTTAACCGACCGACGGCGAAAGACGACGCGCATAGCGCGGATACAAGAAGCAAGTCCTCCCCGCCGGCCGCTCCTGAGCGCAGCGATGTAAACACGGCAGGCCCGGAGAGCACCCCGACACGTGACCAGGGTCGACTTCAAACACTCCCTCTTTTATTATTCAACATATTCACAGCCGACACACAGAAAGAAGTCACGTAAACGCCACAGGTCCTACGAGCACCCCCGACACGTGACGAGGATCGGCTTCAAAGACTAAGATATTATATTCACAAAATGATCCACATAATGTTAGCAGTCAAGTAAACATTACAGAACCGTTGAGCGCCCCAGACACGTGAGCAGGGTCGGCCTCGCACACTCCCTCTTTTTATTATTCAATATTATATTCACAGCCGACACACAGAAAGAACGTTAACAGTCACGAAAACTACACAGACCCTGACAGGACCTACGACACGTGATCAGGGTCGGCCTCAAGAACTCCCACTTTTATTATTCCAATATATTCACAGACGATACACAGAACACGAATAATCACGTCAACACTCAGAGAAAGCACCCCTGACACGTGATCAGGATATTCACCATTCGTTTACCTTATCACGTGATATCCCTTATTCACCTTCCGCACGTGATCAGGGAGGTTTTGAGTGCATTTTAGCCCTAATGGTTTATTTATTTATGAAAACACTTCTTAAGTTTCAATACTACGATGTAGCCTGTTATCGTATATTAAAATTATTTTATTTTAAATGAATAAAAATATTTAATAGAAATAATCCTGCCACATGATTAGACCACTTGCTCTTGTCTAGAGGGCGCCCTGGATCACAAGTCCACGGAGCGGGTGGTGGTGGCCATGTTGGCTCTTATCAGCGCATATGATTAACGAGTTAAATGATGCGGAAGTGGATCCAAAATGGTGCCGCGTACAGGCAACGTATAAGCAGAACAGCGCTTAGTTGTCAGTCTGATTTTCGAATGAAGGCGAACGTGTTTTATAACCATACACGTCAACTGTATTTATGAAGTCATCCTGGCGATTCCCCGTGTAAATTATATGTACACACCATGCATACGTTATATGAAGCAAAACATGTAATGTAAAAAAGCGTATAAAAGTAACGTGAAATATTATGTGTGTAATTTGTAACTTTATCAGGTAATTTCCCTTGATTTTGACATATTATGGTACTTTCAAAGGTGGCAATGCTGGGCTGAAGTAAGACAACCGTCCTCTGTGACTGGTACTCATGCCTTCACTGTTCAGTTCGCATTAAAATCTGAGAAAGGTATGGTATTTTCAGGTATCACAGGAAAAGCATAAAAAGTTAAAACAAATGTATGCTCACGATCTTTATTTTTCTGCTCATTGACTATCTATCTATCTATCGTTTGAAAAATCAATGTTGACTGCCCTGTATTGTCCGTCTGTTCCCACTAGATGTCACTAAAGTGTACTTCATTTAATTTACTTTCTTCAATTACTAAAGTCACTCCATGCAAACGACAGAAGTGGTCACTATAAATCACCTATATCCTAAAGATAACTCATTAACCCAGAGCTGGATGAAAGGTCAGCTATAGTTTTTCCTTTACAAACACATGGACTTAATTGCAGGAAACGAGTTGTGCTGACTGGAATATAAAATGTAAGGAAAATACAGAGAGAAATACTAAGGCTCGCTGTATTCTTTTTTGATAAAATAATACTTCTGGCAGAAGGATTCATGTTTTCTAGAGACAGGTAGAGGTGTACATTTGTACAGGCATATTATTGTGCAGTGTAGCACATTTTAAATTAATTTATCTGTCCCTCTTGGGATGACATAATGGCTCAGTGGTTAGCACTGTACTTCCCTGAAGGTTTGAATACCACCTCTGTCATTAGTGTGCGCAGTTTGCATGTTTTCCCCAGGTCTGATGGGATTCCTTTGTGTGCATGTATATTCCCTGTGATGCACTGGCATCTTCTCTACTGTATACCCCAGCTCTATGCCCTCTGCTTCCTGGGATCAGTTCCAGACACCCACAGTGCTGAGCAGGATAAGCAGTTAGAATGGATGGTTGCTCTTGTAGCCATCTAGTGGCTATATAAATTTCCTGCATTGCCTTATTATCTTTGCAATGATGTCATGCTCTTGAAATACAAACCCTTGTACACCTTGTGCTTAACATACCCTGTCATTCTTCTCCTGAATATGAGTGGCTGGGGTTCTGCTGTAGTGAGGGCATCCATAACCAGCATCTTATATGGGACTGTACACTTCTGCCTTTAGGAGTGCAAAGTATTATGACAGAAAGCTAAGAAATTATTTGCTATTTGCAGAAGTACAGGCACAATGTAACAATGGGGTGTGTTAGTTTTCACATATCCCATCATGCTCTCCTTTTTAAGACACACACACACACACACACACACATATAGAGGTGAGAGTGAGGCATGCGGTCTGAGCACAGGGTCAGCCGTCCATCCAGCACCCCTGGGGCATTACATAGGAGCCTTGCTCAAGGGCCCAAAGCAGACGTGGCTACTCTGCTGAGCATGTGATTTGAACCGATGACCGCTGAGCCGCACACCGCCCTCTGCTCTTGACATGATCACCGGTGAAGAGTGTGCAATGCCTCCCGAGCTGGACCACCGACCAGGAGTGTAGAATGTCCAGCGCACGATGGAGTGCTGCCGTCGCGGCATACGGTGTGCTGTGTTACACTGACGTGCTGCGCTTCTGCATACCAGCCTGACCAGTTGCTGGACTGCACTGCCGTGAGCTTTTCTGGGAGAAACCGTCTACAGCTGGAACAGGGAAAGCCACGTGTGACTGATTGGTTTTACTAAGGATTATAAATCTGTGATTATCAGATCCATAAAATCAGGCTTTTGCTTCTAAGCCATTAACAAAGTGGACAGTTCCTATTTTGCAGGTTCATTACTATGAAACTGCAGGTTTCTGTGTGGTTTTAGACCTGCCCCGTACGGTAAATGTGGCAAAACAAATGATGCCTAGGCCAATTCCCGATTGGAACCCTGCATGCCTGTCTTTGCTGTGCCACTCAGGAAGTAAAGCTGTGGGTAATTATAGCAGAAAGCTATGGTCTGTTGATCTAAGTGTATTTAACTGTTGTGTAGATGTTGAAAGAAACTTGCATGTCTCACATTTCCAACCATCTCCCACCCTCTTATCCAGCACTGGGGGGAAGGTGCAGAGGGCAGAGCAGAATGGGTGGGGATCGGTGCCATTGGCTTTGGATAAACTGAATTGACAGTGCTGTCATTCTAGCTTCACAATCGCTTGTGGGATTGGAGTGCTGACATTTCAGGGACTCCCCATGCCTGCATTCCCACCTGCCTCTCCCTCCTACTTATGCTGCCATAGCCATATCTGCCGGAGCATTGCACTTCATATTGCACTCATTTAACTTTTAGCACTGCCTATAGTCTCCCCTACTTTGACTAATTGCATATTTTATTTCCCCTACCTCTCCTGGGGGGTGCTGCCTGGAGACCTCAATCTATCAAGATGTCCAGCACACCCTGCTACATGTGACGTCACCTCTACCAATAATGTCCTTGCATCCAGCTTGCTGTTCTGCCTGTGTCATCTTCCTTGTATGACCCGCTCCCTGCCTTCTGGTTACCTGGCGATTGGAGGGAGCGTTGGCACCGGCTTGTCATCTCCCCCCTGCTCCCCGTTTGTGTTTCAGATTTAACTGTATTTGACTCTCCCTGCCGGCCCCTGGAGGATGGGCTCCCCCTTTGAGTCTGGTCCCTCCCAAGGTTTCTTCCTTCTAGGGAGTTTTTCCTTGCCACTGTCGCCTATGGCTTACTCACTGGGGGCTTTGGGTGGGGATGCTGTGAAGCGCTTTGAGACGATGTAATGTGATAATGCGCTATACAAAAATAAATTTGTTGTTGTTGTTGAATACCCTGAGGAAACCTGTATAAAGCTTATGGGGGCCAAGTATGACTCAGTAGGTCAAGACTTGGTGCTTGTGGCCAGAAGGTCACCAGTTCAAATCCCAGGGCTGCCAGAGTGATATTACCAGTGGACCCTGGAGCAAGGCCCTGACCACCCCCCATCCCCCCCCCCGTCCAATTGCTCTAAGACAGTGTTTCCCAACCCAGTCCTTGGGTAACCCCGGACAGTCCACATTTTTGCTCCCTCTCAGCTCCCAGCCAATCAGGAACACCTAATACTTGGTACAGGTGCACTGGGAGCTGAGAGCAAGCAAAAACGTGGACTGTCCGGGGTTCCCCGAGGACTGGGTTGAGAAACACTGCTCTAGGAGCACTGGATACAAGGCTGGCCCTGCACTGCATCTCCCAGACTTCCTTTCACCTGTGTGTCTGTGTGTTTTCTGAGAAAGGAGCATAACTAGAAAATCTCTATACATGTCACCTTGCCCCCCCCGAATCTTCCAGGGTTTCCATGTTTCTATTGAACTTAAAAACTCCATGTGATTCGAATCCACAACCACTGAGATGGAGGCACTACCTGCTGCACCACGTGCAGTTAAACTTGTGGGTATGGGTTTTGTAGCTGATTCCATCCAGAACGATACAGTATATGTTCTAGTGCTATCAGTAGCATAGCAACATGAATGAGGAGTGACACCATCTTGGGTTGGGGCCGGGAACAGAACCATGTCACACGGGACTCAGCATGCTCGGCAGGAGAGGGACACCGACACTTTAATCTCGCTTACCAGGGATGAAGCAAAAGAGGACAGAGTGAGCAACAACTATCAGGGCGAATAAATGGGACTCATCGATATAGATGTATCATGGGATGACAGAGCTAATACTTAGGAGACTGAGCCCAAGATGGAGGTCAACATGGAAGATATTCTGCAGGTCTGATGTGAGGTTCATTCTGTCACCAAAGGACTTAGGATGTTGACGACTTGTCCCTTGGAATGGTAGCCCAGTACAATGTCCTCCTAGCGTCTGAGGTGATGTTTTTCCACAGCTGTTTCTTGTTTTATGACTATGTGATAGTGTAAATGTATCTTTCCGCTGAAGTTCCATGTTCTCATGGTGAAGGTCAAATTGGGAAGCAAAATCACACCCCCTCACCCATGACCCTGACACCCTGTCATCGACTCACGGACTTGAGGGTCAGGCTGGGATGGAACGCATCCTTTTTAACCCTCTTTACAGAAAATAATCACTTGAGAGGACCATGGAGTTGCATATTCCAACCAACCTCGGGGGCACCCATCTTTCCAAACAGAACCAAAACATCCAAGACTGAAGATGATTCTGGAATAAAACATTCGTAGCTGTTCCTGAGTTGAGATGAAAATCATCTTTTTTCAATAAATGTCGGGGTCTTTTCAGCCAGGAAAATACCGCTTAAACAAAGCCCAGGAAGTGAACATTTATTAACAACTCCTGGAAAGTGCTTTTTAAAATCAAAGCCCCCATTTTCCAGAGAGTATTTCCTGTGACTATTTTTAGGAATTAAATAAGCTATTTCCTATGGTCATTTTTTGTTACTGTCTGTTATCAGCAAATATCCAGGCAGCTTTGGAGGTGGCCTTTGGGTCATTGGTCCCAATTAAACA